ATTATCGGTTGTTTTCTCTATGAGAACATAATCGCCACGGAGAGATGCAATTAGCTGACAACTGATTCCGCCCCCCCCTTTCCTCTCGGCCCCCCCACTGCTGTTAAGACCCCCGGTACCGGAAAAAAAGAGAGTGAAAAAAGAGAAGAAATGGTTTTGATGCAGCTTGCTAAGAGGCAGTCAGTCATTCAGCATGAGGGAATCAGTGATTGCACACAGGAGCTAATTACATTTTATGCCACCCTTTCTTTCACTTCCTATTCTCTTTGTTATGCCATGGATGTTGAAAGAAAAAGATAAAAAGAGAGATTAGAGTATCTCTGCATCTAAGTTGGCAACTGTATTTCGGATGGTAGCCCACAGGAAAGAAAAAGCACATAGGAGATCTCTTTACCCTCTTGTTCTTCTGTTCAGAGACACCAAGGCCCCAAACATACTCAACTTTCAGGTTGTAACTTTTTCGAATCTTATGAGATCTGATTATAAAGAGAATTCAACTTTATATTCTTTAGTCAACGTTCAGCTTTATTCAACAAATACTGTGACATGATTCAAATGTCGCCACATATGAAGCATTATTTTTATTTTATTTTATTGTAAATTTCTATTTTATTTTTCTACGGTGTGTTTCAACAGTAACTAAATATAATAAACATATTAATACTTAATATTGTAATAATACATATTGTAATAGTACATACTACATATTATAGTAACCGTATATCCTTTATTCAACATTCAACTTTACTGAATAAATAACAGGTGTAAGGGAAACAGGTCAATTTAGCTCAAAGGGAATCATTTAAGATTTTAAAGGGAACTCCACCAATAATATGTAAGGGACAGAATCACTGTTTTACGGCTGATCCCTGAGACGGCCAGCGATTCCGTGAACGAGCCGTATGACATCAATTCTGCAATGGATATTTATATCCAAAATATAGTGAAAACACTAGTAATTAGCACAGTAACAAGATCGGCAGTTTAAGACATTAACTTGTGAGCACAAAACACATTGACCAAATCTTAGATTGTCTGATTCGGTCTGATATCCTACACAGGCTTTGTTTGGGGTCTCAGAGACTCCATTTATTTTATTTTATTTTATTTCTAAATCTAAATAAAATATTAAATGTATTAATTTTAATAATTAGCATGTTCATGCTTATTATTTAATATTACAATACAGAAATGATTCTTTATTCAAAAAGTGTGTCAAATGTCTTATGTAAAAAATTGGGGTCTCTTTGAGACTTTTTAATATTTTATATTATTATTTAAAATTGTATATTTTATTTCATTAATTTTTTTCTCTACATTGTGCTTCAACAACATCTAACCATAATATTAAATATTTCATTATACTATTAATATTTCATATTTTTTATACTTTTTTAAATAATATAATATAATATAATAGTAAAAATAGTTGAAAATTAAGAGAAGCTATATTTCAAAATAGTATTGTTATTTTTAGACATACAACAATGATATTAAATGGAGACTTCCTATACCTATACCTCCAGTCTCTTGAGAGTAGTATTGCACTGCACCATGGGAATTTACGTCGTTGTCTTTCTTTTCAGCACAAATACACCTCCTTTATATGTAAATTAGGCTTATTATAGATTGCACATTGTTCTCAAAGTCTGCACAGTAAAATTTTCCTCTGGGAGGAATTTTCCCCTTAGGCCCCAGACATACATTTACACATGTACATGAACACAAACGTTTCTAGTTTCGCAAGTTCAAGTGTTATTCATAACCTATCGCAGGTATGTACGGCATTCTCACCAATACCACAAGGGGTGCTAGAGCTCCAATTAGCGCATATATATTGCAGGTCAACAGCTGTCTGAGTTTCTGAGGCATCACCGCATTAAGTAATGCAAGAACGCATTCGCCCAAGCCTTCGCATCTGCATTATCATATTTTCATAAAGTATTTTTTTCTGACTGTACATATAAACCCAATCATTTTTGCTAACACCAATAGCAAACTCCTTTCCTCTCATTTCCTCTGCTCTGTATCTCTAGTTCATTTCCTCTCGCTCCTGAGGTGTTTTGTTATTCTTGTGAATTTCACTGTGTTCTTTTGCACTTCATCTGCATATAAAGTCACACTAAAATTGCTGTGAACGCATGCACTCAGATGCACATGACTTTTGGCGTACAGATGAACGCTGAGGTAATTCTGGGTGTGGTGCACAAGAGAGAAGTTGGGGGATTCGATCAACAATATCTGGCAAATTAAACCCATATGCACACTTGAAGAACACATGATGCCCATTACATCATTGTATTCCTGGAAATAACAGATCTTGATAGTGAAACGTATATTAGTTATCTCCTTTTTGGAACACACACACACACAATTTTCAAGGAGCCATGCAAGGGCCAATGGAGTGAAGGCAGACAAAATATTTAATTTTGCCACCAATCAAAACAATGATATGAGGACTATACTTACAGTTAAAGAGATAGTTCACCCAAAAATGAAAATTCTGTCATCATTTACTCACCCTCGAGCTTTACCAAACCTGTAGGAGTTTCCTTCAGCTGTTGGACACAGAATAAGATATTTTGAAGAATGTTGGTAACCAAATAGTTGATGGTAGCCATTGAATTCCATAGTATTTCTTGTGAAAGTCAATGGCTACCATCAACTGTTTGGCTACCAACATTCTTCAAAATATCTTCATTTGTGTCCAAGAAATTCATACAGATTTGGAACAATATGAGGGTATGTAAATGATGAGAATCTTCATTTCTGGGTCAAACAAGTTGTTGACTTTTGAGAAAAACGTCCTTTAAATTTAGTTTTTCGTCATGTCATATTCATTCATTTTACTGTAACGTCCACAGCATTTTCCCAGGGTGACATATTTTTTCCTTTTCGCAAGTGCCCTTGAAAACTCGCAGGCTGTCTGTCAATCAGCTTTTTGCCGGCGGTAACCCACAGTGCATCGCTGTAACGACAGAGAGGGTGGCGAACTCCGGCAGTGGCTTTGAGCTTCTGTGTGCCGCCCTGAGGAAGAAAGCTCCTCTCCAGATGAGACGTGACAATTTATTCTTAACAGAATTCCCGATGAAAAATAGGTGTAGCTATTTCAGGATCAGCAGTTTATCAAAAAACTCTCAGGCGCTCTCTCTTGCTCTTTCGATGTGTCGTCTCATAGCCGTGGGGCTGGGTTTAATGGCCCTCAGTCACAGATCTTTACCAGCCTCAACTCTGCACCCTTGACTCTCTGAGAACACCTTTTTCTCTTTTATTTCTCTTCCCTGTCATCTCGCTCTCCTCTCGTAATCAAAAATTCAGAAAAGGCTATGTTAAAATCGGCAAAGTCTGAGGTGACACTTTCTTCTTTCCAAAAATCCCATCATCCTCTCCTGCTGCTGGACGCTGGCTTAGTGATGTCAGACATAACAGGCCTCCAATCGTATATGAATGCTGTGTGAGCTTGTCATTAGTTCTGTTCTGAATCCTAGGGGGCTGCCTTGCTGTCTACTGCCTACATAGGACACTATCTTCTAAGACTGCATGCTAACAAAAACGGAACTGTGCAAATTATTGATTTAGAATGGTCTACATAGGCAGTCCTATACAAAAAGAGCGCCTCAGAAAACTCAAGTCCTTATTACTTACAATAGAGTTTGATGTTAGCATGTTGCTAAGCTAAAAACAAAACTTTATTAAGCATAGAAAAACAAACAAAATGGGCTTTTTAGTAAGATAAACTTACTCTAAATAAACTTACTAGTAAAACTCTACATTTTGGAATTGTACACGATATAAACAGATTTACCGTCAACAATTCTCTCAATTCATCCGCCATTTTGGATTAAACGGCAGCAGCCTACCTGAAATGGATCCTCATAATGATTGAATTCAAACTCGGTTGGCAGCAAGAAGAACTGATTTCAACAGAGTTTGCATTAGCATGTTGCTAAGCTAACAGCATGATATTCAAATAAACATAAAAACTCATAACCTACACGAATTTTAGGCAAAATAGTCAATTTATAATTAGATTTAACCCGACTAATACAATTTCGGTATGGAACAACATTTCTCTGAGATTGTCTGTCAGCTTACAAAAATTTTCCACTGAGCTTATTGTAGTGCATTCTGGGCATGGCTTTTTCTATGAAAGGATTGCACATTTTTCGTCAACCTTTAGGAATTGAAGTCGGAAGCAGTGGCGGCTCGTCGGGGGAGGCAGGGGAGGCACAGCTTCCCCATAATTTTGAGGTGAAAATGGGAGGAGGACGATTTAATGTTAATAAAATTCATAATTCATTTCATTTCATGACTCAGAATGTGTATTTTTTGTTTGTAATTTCACAGTTGTAATAAAATAACGTGAAAGCGCCGCTTTTCTATCGCGAATGTGCCGAATCTGCTGATGTAATTACAACCGCTAATGATAGAGAAGGGGAGGGGGGAGGCCGGGGGAGATGCTGAGCTCTCGTGCCTCCGTTGGTAACAAAAATTAGCGAATCAGCATCGAGTGTTCACTTTCAGCGCTGAGGAGTGTTGAGAATTTTCTGACTAAAAGCAACCAAAAAGCTATTTTAAAGTGGTTAAGCAAATTATAATAATTGGCAGGGATCCAAGACCAAAACAATTAGTGTGCCTCCTCTATTTTAAAACCCAAGAGCCGCCACTGGTCGGAAGTAAACCTAGGATGGTGTAAAATACTGTCTAGGCAGGCAGCTCACCAAGGTTTTATAACAGGCCATGTTCTGTTATTATATACGGAGGTTATATTAAACATTATTGAGATCATACATGGACAAAGCCGAGTGTTACGAGTGTTGTGTTTGTCATGTACGCAATCTAGCGATCGACCCAAGGTCTCAGTTAAAAACAATAGAGGTTTATGTGTGTGAAAAAGAAAAAATCACATCAGTATAGCAGTCAATACACTACTAGCCCGAATTAGAAATAATTGACAGAGAAAGAAAGAAAGAAAGAGAGAGAGAGAGAGAGAGTCCTACCTCTGTATAGTTCCAGTCAGATCACTTGCGTCCTGCCTGTGAGAGAAAAGAGAAAATTAATTCATTAGCTCAGTGAAAAGTCACATACACAAACAACCATTTTAGTTAGAATTGTGTGATAACATTTACATTTACGCATTTGGCAGTCCAAATCGGCTTATTGCATTGAAGGTATACAACACTTAAAGCATTCACTCGGAATTGAACCCATGACCTTTGTGTTAACTAGTGTCAAACTCTGTTGTGTGAGCTACAATGAAAAAAAATAAATAAATAAAAAGTGTCGAAAGTCTAAATGGGTAATTGCAGCAATTTATCAATAGATGTAATTTTTTTAAAGAAAACAAAAAACAAGTTAATTTGAATAAGTATGATTTAAATTTTTTGTTTATTTTTTAATAAATATATAAATAATGTGCCAATATAATGTATAGGATTGATACTCAGTACAACATTAATACGATAAAACAAAAAAATCTTGATATTTCAAGCCTATCTGCACATCTTTAATTTTGATCAAATATGCACAGGTGTATGTGCTTGTACATCTCCTTGGTTTGTGATAATACAGCTGTAATGAGGTGTGTGTGTGTGTGTGTGTGATAGTACTCAAGTGACACACACATATTACACCCCCCTCTCTCCGTCTTTCTCTCACCCATCCAATCATCCACACCCTCTCTCTCTTTCCCATTCCTCCATTCTCCTGTCATTTCAGAGTGTTCGGCTTTTGGGAAAACATGAGTGCTGAATGTGCGAGGCGAGGGGTGCCTGTATTAAAGTCTCTCCCTCTCTCTCTCTCTCTCTCTCTCTCTCTCTCTCTGAGAAGCAGACAGACATATGAAGTGTCACAAGCCACTGAGCCCAAGAGAAGTGGAGATGAAAAAATGGACAGAAAGAGAGAGAGGAGGAATGGTACATTGTGAGCACCTCTTTCAGCCTCCTCTTGACATATTTCACCAAAAAACAAAACAAAAAACCCCCCTCAAATTCATTCCCGCTGACAATTACAAATGGCTAATACAGCACTTCATTAGCAACCGGATCCTGTATGAATCATAATTTACACATTACGCTGACGGAGGCAAATGGTTTTACACTGTAAACTATTAAAGTGTAATACTGAAGTATACAGATATATCCTTCATTTAATTTCCACAAAATATAAGAAGTGTTCAAATGAACATAAATATAAAATATTTATTTAATATATAAATATAAATAAATATTTTGCATTGCGATAATGAGAATGCCATACATTAATGAGAAATTTAATATGAAAATATAATTGAAATTGGTGTCATAATTTAATAAGTATAATATTAATAATACTTTATTTATTTATTTGAGTTATTTTCAAAATACAGTGTCCTATTTTGCGTTCGATTTTGTGGTAAAATATGAGATTTAGCCATATATGTATGTTTGTGGTAACATGTGTCCTCTTCTGTTTGTGGGAATAAATCAACTGAAATAAAAACCAGCAATCACTTTGTGTAACCTTTTTCAATTGCCTTTACCAGGAAAAAAACATCCAGTACCATTTCAAAAACTGGCGTGAAAAGGCGGAATGCTGTATTCAAAGAGCAAATCAATTGTGGCCAATTCACCATGGCTAATTTTGGCCCTCATTCAACATGGCACCCGAGCTCAGGTAATCAAAATGAACTCCCCTCTCTTGTTAGCACCAAACAGCCCACTCCAAATTGTTTTTTTTAAATTTTTTTGTGCTTTTTTCTTCTTATCCCTCCGTTCTCCGACCGCTGAGCTCCTGCTGTGTATATGTGCGTGTATGAAGAAAGAGACCGTGCTTCCCACCGCATGTTAATAAATTGGTCCCCTGTGAACAATGGGGAGGAGGTGTGCGGTCATGATTCTGAAAGCTTCCGGTGAAACGGGCGCTGTTTGATAACAGCTGCCATCAGCGCTGTCGAATAACAGGACGGCAGCTATGCACTTATTAATGGTGAATTATTCCTTTATTCCAGCCCAAATGAGAGGGATGCAGAGGGATAGCATATGCTGGCTATGGTGATCAGAGCAAAGGTGGGCTGGAGGTTACTTTCCATTTCAAAGAGCCACACAGCGAGAGGTCTGTCCACGGTTTCTGCCGTATAAACCTTCACATTGAGCCTGACTGGGATGAATTATGCAAGGCCTTAACCCAGATGTGTTTGCACACACAAACATATTTCTTTCTGTCTTCTATCACCCCCTCAAACACACGAATACACAAACTGTGGTGAGAAATTGAGGTTAAGAAATAGGGGTTAAGAAACCACAGATAATCTATTTGAAAGCTCCTGTTACACTCTGAACTGACATTTCTTTTCACAAGAAATTATTGGGGATAGATACAGAAAATAGGATCAGAACATGTTGCAGGCAGGACACGAACCTTCATTTCCCACCAGAGCACCAAGACTGAATATATCAGAAGAATGTGTCATAAAACTGCAGACAGCACCAGCAGATGTGGCTATTTAGAGCTATATATTTAAATTGAATTAATTTTAAGGAAATGTTGCTTTATTTAATAAAATATCAGAATATTTACTTAAGTATATTTAAAAAAAAAAAGCAACATAATATTTTTGCTGCTTACCTTTTGGAACATTTATCTTGTTGAAAATACAATACCTTAGAAAGCCTAACAAGACTTATAGCTAGAAACAAAATTATGCTCAGCGTACAACAGAAATGAGGAGGTCCAAGCGAAACTTCTACCTAACCAATAAAAGAAAAAATAAATTAATAAATAAAATAGACCTTACAATTTGGTATCTAGATTGTGAAATGCATGTCTGAAAACACGTTGCTCCTTTAATATGGCACTAGATTCCAATAGAAAATTACCTTATTAAAAAATGGAGGGTGGTAGATGGAAATGAAACATCTCCCCTCCCTCTCTGTCTCTATCTATCATTCTTTCTTTCTAACTGTGCGGTTTCCATCTCCTCTCATCTGTAATCATTATCTCTTTTTCTCCAACAGCCACCATCTGTGTGCCTGCGTCTCTTCTACTCATTCTGCGTTTTACTTCTCCGTCTATCTATCTGTCTCTCACACAAACACACTCACATCCACTCTCTTATCAAGGCCCTTGTGCAACAGAGTGTGTTAGCAGTATGTGTTTTGCTTGCTTGAGAAATTCATCATGTTTTTGAGTGATAATTTGCTAGTTTCGACAGGTGGAGTGTTTAAAAGTACTCCAGACTAGACTACAGCTGACAGCAGTTACTAAACTTGTTTCTTTCGTTTTTTTTTATTATTTATTTTTAAAATGTATTTTTTTGACATCTCTTTTGTAAGGGGATCTCTTATTGGAACAAACTGAACGAACCTGGACATCTTGTTGGTGAACTTGGAGACTGCTTAAACACTCTTCTGGGGTCTTTAAAGTGTATGTTTTGTGGTCAGTCAAGCCTCGGGTTGCTATGTCTGTCCGATTTGAGTTAGGTAGACCGAAGCTCATACTCTCTCTGGGTGAGTGGCACTCAAGAGAGACTCGTTTAACCTCTTGGGAGGAAGGAAGTCCCTGACCCACGACTTCACCCTCATCTCTTCTGACAGGATTTAAACTCCCAATAAGTTCTCCCAATATTTCATACTCAAAACACAAGGAGACGTCACATATATTCAAACGAGATTGAGATCTTTTACCCTCTTTCTATCACTCTGGCTTCTGACATTAGCAATTCCTTGTTCAAATGAGTGCAGAACCATTTTTTTTTTCCAGCCCAGAATTGCTTGCTGGAAATGACTGGAACGGGTCCAGTTTGGGTGGTGAAAATGGAAATTCACACATATTCTGATGATAACCGTAAAATAGACAAAAGAAATCTACAATATCATCAGCCACTTTGAAGGCTTTGGTGTAATATGATGACTATTCCGTTGTTCCGATTATGCAGACATTTCAGACAGCACCGTCCATCACTGCCAAGAGACTAAACCCCTTTCCTTTTCCCCTGCCTCGCTCATTTTATTTGTTTGTCTGAGAGTGTGCGAGAAAAAACGAGAAAGGGGACAGACAACAAACTTGTCTAGGAAGTTCAATGCTAGGCTTCATTTGACAAGAATTGCTCAAAGGGTGAATTTACTGTTCAAAGCCTAGACCCTATCAATCTAACACACATCGGAGTTATACAGCGGGTTACATAACCTTAAGCAACAGATTAGACAACACCATTCATCAATCATCTGCACCCTCCCTTTCTCATAAGCTCCATTACCCACAAGCCCTCACAGATCTCAGTTTTTGAGGCATTATGAGCTATTAAAGTCTGTTGCTAAAAATCCATAAACATAACGCAGTATGCGTACCACTTATAAATGAAGATGTGTACACCTTATAAAGAACCGTAAGAGAAAGAACAAACACACACAGTGTGGCTATAGAACAGTCGTCTCAGCTGGTTTATGAGACAGGCATACATAAAGTCAAACAGTCCCAGGACACATAGCTAATGAGAAAATGGCTACAATATCAATTCATCTCTCCAGAGAGAGATACAGAGAGAGACAGACCCACACACCAACCTAATTATCATTATGACATTTAAATTAAAGGTACTTGCCCATGACAAAGACGTTGTCACAATGCTAGGGTATTACAATGCAGTGTTAATTTTGACAGCAAATTTTGATTTAATTTTAGTCAGTCATAGTCTTTTGACTAAAATGCCATTTAGTTTTAGTCATTTTTTAGTCATCTGAATTGTTTTTAGTTTTAGTCTAGTTTTAGTCGACTAAATATCATACGATTTTAGTAGACTAAATCTACAGTAAATTTAGTCGGCTAAAATCTAATGGGTTTAGTTAGAGTGTAATGCATTTATTAAGCATTTCTCAAAAATTTCCAAACTCATTATATAGGTTTGATATTAAGGTTTTACCATGATAGAAACCGGACCGAATTGAGTTCTCTCTTGCGTCGTCAGATTTATCTATATGTCTGCTCTTCCCCATATTGACATTTTTGAACGTTTTATGAGGCGTGCAGCAAGTGTATTTTAGCTTATGTCCCGCCGGTT